AATCAATCAATGTGATACTTAATGTACTTAATAACATGCACTTAATAAATTCTTAATATATTTATTAAGATACAACATGTATGTATGTACATGTACATGTATATTATGTATTAAGATACAATATGCACTTAATAAAAGAAAGGATAAGAACTGTATGATCCTGTAAGTAGATACAGATCCTGTATTGACAAAATACAGCATCCATTCTTGATAAAAACCCTCAACAAAGTAGGGATAGATGGAACATACCACAACATAATAAAGGCCATATTTGAAAGACCCACAGCTAATATCCTCAATATCGGCAAAAACGGAGAGCTTTTTCTCTATAGTCAAAAACAAGCCAGGGATGTCCACTTTCACCATTACTAATTAACATAATACTGGAAGTCTTAGCCTCAGCAATCAGACAACAAAAAGAAATAAAGACATTGAAATTGGCAAGGAAAGACTCAAACTTTCACTACTTGCAGATGACAATGATACTCTATGTAGAACACCTGAAAGACTCCACCAAAAAACTGCTACCACTAATACATGAATTCAGCAAAGTCACAAGATATAAAATCAAAGTACAGAAATCTGTTGCATTTCTATCCACCAACAACAAAGCAGAAGAGTAAATCGAAGAATTTCTCCAAAAAAAGTAAGACACCTAGAAATAAACCTAACCAAAGGGGTAGAAAATCTGTACTCTTAGGTAGGAAACTGAAGAGGACACAAAGAAATGGAAAAACATTCCATGCTCATGGATTGGAAGGACAAACATTGTTACAATGTCTATACTACCCAAAGCAATCTACGTATTTAATGCAATCCCTACCAAAATACCACCAGCATTTTCCATCGACTTAAAATAAATAATCTTAAAATTTGTATGGAACCACAAAAGATCCCAAATAGCCCAAGTAATCCTGAAAAAGAAAAGCAAAGCTGAAAGTACCATGATTCCAGAGGTCAATCTGTATCACAAAGCTGTAGACATAAAGAAAGCATGGTACCGGCACAAAAACTAACACACAGATCAATGAAACAGAATACAAAACCCAGAAATGGACTCACAACTATATGGTCAATTCATCTTCAACAAAGCAGAAAAGAATAGCCAGTTGAAAAAAGGCCATTTCTTCAACAAATGGTGTTGGGAAAACCAGACAGCAAAATGCAGAAAAATGAAACTGGACCACTTCCTCAGACCATACAGAACAAGAAATTCAAAATGGTTGAAAGGCCTAAATGTGAGACAGGACACCATGAAAATCCTAGAGAAGAACACAGGCAGAAACATCTCTAACCTCAACTTTAGCAAGTTGCTACACATGTCAGTGGAAGACAAGTGAAACAGAAACAAAAATGAACTACTGGGTCTTCATCAAGATAAAGAGCTTCCACACTAAACTAAAGGCAGCCTACAGAATGGGAGAAGATATTTGCAAATGACAGATCTGATAAAGAGTTAGTATCCAAAATCTGTTAACAGCTTATGTAACTCAAACCCCCCCAAAAAAATAATCCAGTTAAGAAATGGACAGAAGACATGAACAGACACTTTTCCAAAGAAGACTTACATGTGGCTAACAGAGAATTGAAAAGATGCTCAACATCACTCATTATCAGGGAAATACAAATCAAAACCACAGTACGATACCACCTCACACCAGTCGGAATGGCTAAAATTAACAGCACAGGAAACAACAGGAGTTGTCGAGGATATGGAGAAAGGGGAACCCTCTTGCACTGTGGTGGGAATGCAAACTGGTGCAGCCACTCTGGAAAACAGCATGGAGGTTCCTCAAAAAGTTAAAAATAGAACTATCCTGCAATCCAGCAATTGCACTACTAAGTATTTACAAGGGATACAGGTGTGCTGTTTCAAAGGGGTACATGCACCCCAATGTTTATAGCAGCACTATCAACAATAGCCAAAGTATGGAAAGAGCCCAAATGTCCATCAACAGATGAATGGATAAAGAAGACATGGTGTAAACACACACACACACACACACACACACACACACACACACACA